AAGAGGAGCGAGAGCCGCCAGTATTCACATCGCGATGTCCAGGAGTTACCACACTTGCACTTCCTAAGGTATAGCAATTTTTACAGTTATACTTTGATTACTTTTCATAACCGTTTTTGTATGCTGCAGTTTGACTCCTATCACGATTCGGTTTGCAAAACCTTTATATTTAGGTTAAGAAATTCCCGGAAGACGAGGAGACATCTCCAAATGATTTGCTACGCCGTGTGTTTGACCCGCTGAAGGATTTGACAACGCTTGATCTCTCGTATTGGAATAGAGTAAGTGTTGAGAGTGAGATGTGATTGCTTTCTCAGTAATCTAATACTGCATTTTCAGTTGGAAGATCTCAGATGCATTCATCCGCTTCACCTGACAACGCTAATATTGTTCGACGTGCCTGACTTGTACCGGGCCATTGATAGCATTATAACCATGACGGAATTAAGGTATTTAGATTTGCTTTTTTGCTGATTCGGTACTATCTAGCTATCTGCACAGTCTTTAGCGAAAAATTGTGTTTTGCAGGTTTCTTGACTTGTCTCAGTCATCGCGGGATACAGGACTTTACCCAAGACCAGTTACGGCATTGCACAAAATAGTTACCAACTTGAAAGAACTGACATGTTTGGATATCTCATCGACAAATCTTGCCGCACAACCAACTCCCAAGGATTGGCCCGTAAAGCCAGATATGCAGTGCGTTAAGCATCGATTTTTGCTAAGAATGTTTACCGATTATTATCTTTCCAGCCAAGGCAATGTACGTTCGGACATAGTTGGATTGCGTTTCCTGAGCAAGCCACTGGACTTTATTGGACTGTTCAATTGCGAAAACGCTAGTCATTTTGGTGAAATACCTGCAAAGCACATATCTGGCGATGCTAATGAGGATCAGGTATGTTCATGTATCACCTTCTCCAGCAGTATCATAGCTTGCTCTTCTAGGTAATTATGGCTCTTCAAATGTACAAAGATCGAGCTGGACTGCTGCAATCCGTTTTGAACGAGAGTTACCAGCTTTATCGATTTGGGAATAGCAATCCGTTGGTGAGCAGTGTTTGCTTTATTAATCGTTGTTTTGTTACTTATCTCATCTTTCTCACAATAACTGTCGATGACTCTCTATTTCTAGGTTCGTCACACGGAAGCGTTACATTTAGTCTTGAATGCCATGCAGAACCATCTTGAAGACAGCACTCTTCAAATTGCGGGCTCTGCTAGTTTGTTCTACATCATCAGAAAGGTCGCTATGAACCGTGACACAAAGAAGAGAGTTGTTAGTGCGCTTCTCAGTGGTAAGTGTCATTAGTACATTCGAAAAAAAAAAGGACTTAGAATACTTCATTTATTATAGGAATGGAGACGCACATGGAGGAACAGGTGATGGTCAGGAACTGCTGTTTGTCATTATGCCAGTTTG